GTTCAGTAAATCTATTTGAAATTTTCTTCATTTCACATGAAGCTTTTGCAAGACAGACTCCATGTGAATACGTGGATAGTAAAGATTGCAAAATCAGGGCAAGCTTCATTAAAAAAAAAAAAATCAACTCAACAAAGACTCATCATTTCAATTTTGGCACTTGGTTCTCATGGTTAACCATGTGCACTGTTCAGCTGACAGATCAGCTTCCTTATTTGAGCTTCCTGGCTGGCAGCCACTGTTTTATCATCAACTCTTTTACTAGCAGGGATTTTCAATCTGATCTAGAGTTTATAACCACCTGCTTAATTGTTTCACTGAACAAGAGATCTTTAGCTGTGTAATTCTATTTGCAGTAAAATACAGGATGTCATATATATTTATATGACTATACTTATTTAATTATGGATATTAATTTAGGATAATTGTAATAATTTAGAACATCACTTAATGTCCATAAGGATTGAAAGCATCTTTAATTTTATTATGTGAGCTTCTGTTCAACAAAATTCAGTCACCAAAGAGATGCCAGTAACAAAGAGAGGGTATGAAGGAGAAGTTGGCCAGCAGAACGTGCAGTTAGAGCAGAGTAACCACTGGGTTGTATTAAATCTTGTCTTTTGGAACACCATCACAAGATATCTGTGTGTGTGAGTAAAACTGTGAGTGAAGTGGTGATAGGCTACAGATTGTTTCCATTCTGTGATGACTTTCTGATGGTAACCTAAGTCAGTAATGAGCAAAGGTCATTAACTCGTATTTGTTGGAGAGCTGGGTGCAGGTGGGATGTGCTCAGGCTGTTTAGTTCCTGACAAACCCATTTATCATCACTTATAGCAATGACCACGAGTGTCTGAAAAGCCTTTCTCACCTCAGCCAGTGGTCACCTGAGGTCAGAAAAACACATTTCTATTGGGAACTATCTGGAGCTAACATGTTACTAAGGATTATCTGACTTGCCTGAGTCACAGAAACAAATTTATTTATTAGGTGACAAAACATCAGATCCTTCCAGTATCCCCATGTGCTCACACAGCATGGGAACCTCACCAGATCCTGTCCCAGTGTGTCCCACACAGCAGAGACAAACAAGTCCTGTCGGTGTCCTTGCCCTCCCCCAGAGGAAACAGAACATGTGTTAAGTACAGAGGATCAGAGCAGCAACACAGTGTTAGATCAAAATCTGCCTTTCACTTTGTCCATCCAATTTTCCTGATTCAGAAATTCATGTAATTGGCAGAGAAAACTCTTAGATCATCGTGTAACTGATCTTTACAGTGTAGTCACAGAATTTCATTCAGCCACTCCTCTTCTGAAGATAATAACAAATACCAAAATGACATGTCATTTAGGGGAAAAAAACACTTTTGCCTTGTTTTAGACCCTTCAAAAGAAATTTTTTTTATTTTTGGTGCTTAGTTTGAGTGAGGAGATCTCCTTTGGAAATGTCTGGATTATTGCCATAGATTCTCATTACCCTTTTATTTTAGAATTGAAGACCACTGGAGTATCTGTGCCCTCATGATAATAACACTTTCTTAGGAGCTGTCACCTTTTTCATCTATCACTCATTCTGAGCATTGATAAAACTTCATGCAGCAACATTAATGTTATTAACTGAATGAACTGTTATTAATTGTTATTATTGCTGTTGGATGCACAACCTCAGTTCATATTGAAATATAGGATCTCTTTGAAGAAGTGCAGATCTAAAAGTAGTCTTGCCCATATTTTCTTCTCTTGCCTATATTTTCTTCTTGAACTTACAAAATTAGGCATCAGCCTGTGTCTGTATTGCATCAGAGGTTACTTTTAAAAGACAATTCACTCTTGAAAATGTGTCTGTAGCTATAGATCAAGATAAGCATAATTAATCACTTGACAAAAAAATTACATTGCAAACTAATTCCTGGCTAATCAATCTTATCAGTGAGAACAGTTTACCAGCTTTTAATTACCTTTGTTATGCAACGTTTGTCTACACCACATAATTGCATTATTCTGTTCTGACTTACCTGCCTTTCTTTAGGTCATCTTGTTTTCCACTTTCCCACTGTTCCCAGAGTGAGACACTCACTAAAACAACACTGATGCTCATCGTGGTCAGGACTAACAGCAGTGGTTCATAGTCAAGTATAAAGCAATACTCAAAACATGTGTGCAGAGATACTTTCTCATTTAATTGGTAAAAGCTGCAGGGAGTCAGAAGCTCCGCATTCTGCAATTTTGTGCTTTTCTACAACTGTCACCCTGGTGATCTACGTGGTTTCTCAGCAGGGATAGAAATAGACCTTCTATTGTCACTCTGCCTCCAACAGCTTCAATAAAAACTTTAACTGATTTTCCAGAAAAGGAGGAGAGGCCGTGACCAAGATTTGTTTTGAATATAGTACAACAATGCTTAACAGCTCCTGTTGGGAAAAGCAGAAGAAACCAGAGGAGAAATTAAAGTTTGTCTTTATAGCATAGAAGCAAGCAAAAGTAGCCTGCAAACAGAAAGTACTGAGGAATTTTTGTGGGGAACAAGAAGTGATAAAGTGAAACAAGTAAGTCAGGGGTAAAAGAAAGAAAAAAAAAAAAAGCAATTGTAGCGTTTGATGTAGGGGAAACAAAAGTAAATAAACAAGAAAAATACCAGAATCAACAGATGTCAGGAAAACTTCTCCAAACTTTAACACCAGCTTTCTGGCCTCTCACTGTGTGTGTGATCCCCCAAGTTGCACTGGAGCCAAATTTTAGTAAATATAAAAACTTTCCACAACATGTGTACAAGAGCAACATAAAAGCCCCTTTTACAAACAGCCAGCCTGTACACATCCAGTGGTTGCTTCCATTTCAAAGAAGTAGTGTAACTTGCTCAGGAGATGGAATTGCCCAAGCACGCCTGGTTCCCCTCATTCACATCCAGAACCTCTTGATTTCCTGAGATGTTACTCCAAATCAATTACCAGAGCAGAATTAGTGCCTGTTCATGGCACATGGCATCTTAAATCCTGCTCCTATTGCACTGAAATGGTTCCAAATATCCAATACGCTTAATTTAGTGTTTACCTCTGCCCCGGGAGCATGCCTAGGAAGAATCCTGGGATTTTTGAAAGTCACAACTGCACTGTTTCAGTGAGAGTTTTGTACCACAGCAAAGCTGCCCAGTTCAAACAGAGTCTAGGAAATTCAGTCCCTGCAGGACTAATTCTAGACTAATTTCACCATCATCCACCCACTCTTTGTCAACCTCAGAGGGCTCCCAGCATCCCAATTCACCCAGTTGCAATAGTGTTGTTAGGTTATACGAGTTCATGTCTTTGGAGCTAAAAATGTATTATTCTGCATGAAAAATTAATACTGAAATTGAGTGTATTCATTCCATGGTTTGCATAGAAACATCCCATCACATGGCATAAAAATTATATAAAGAGAATTTCCTAGTCCTCACATTAGACGTTACAGATCTGAGAGATTTGCTGCTAATTTATGTACAACTGACTTCAGTTAAGAAAGCAAAGACTTAGAACCTGAACTGCTTAATGTTTGGATTATTATATAGGCTTCATTGCCAATTCTATGGGTATCACGAAAACGTTATATGCTTTATTTTCTAATTTTTTATTCTTTCTTTCGTGATATTGGCACAAAACTTTCATGTAGGAAAACTCTCCATACCACCGAATTAATGCACACTAAATAATTTTGGCACTTGAATGAAAATTTTAAGTCCTGTAGGCTTAAAACAGAAAAAAAAAAAAAAAGTGTGTTTATAATTAGCAGAAGTCTATTTATTCAGCACATAGGGGAAAAGGAATGTCATTCCCCTATTCTCACTGGTGAGCTCTGACTTAAATTTACTGAGTCATAAATATTCGGCTAAAATAACCCTAAGTAATCCTGAGGTGGATTAGTGCAGGTATGGAACTCGAAGAATTGAATGACTTGTGTGAGTACATGATACTTACAGGTTAGTAGAAGTTCAGAAGACGTCATCAGACATGGCCTCTAGCCAGGACACATACGTGAATTTACAAATTAAGTGCCCTAACCCCCATTAGACTTAACCTAGGTTACTGCTACTTTCTATTTGACTACTCCTTTTGTTATTTTAATGTCATTACAAGTTTTGTAATCGATTCAAAGGCAGGTCTGAATCATTACAACTGTTCCCAGACTGTAGTCACTGGAATACTTGGCGGCATGTGTAGAAGTTCACATCACAGTCAGAAGAACTTTAATTCCTGAAGTCATTTGTTTACAGGTTCACCTGATCTCCTGATTATTTTTGCACTGAACTGATCGCGGTTGCTACAGGATGCTATTAGCCTTTGAGAATCTTTACAAACCTGAAGTCTGTTTTGGTTACTCAGCAAGACAGGATATATACAGTGGTGTAGGAAAAGGAGGCCTCTAACCTTTAGGATGTAGGCAAAGTGTCATTCTTCCTGGATGCTTTCTTCCCATTAAGCACTGCCAGTACAGACAGCAGAGCAGCTTTTCTGCACGTGTGCTGCACCCCCACCGCCCTGTGTGGAGCTCAGAACTTCCAATCCAGGGGAAACGGCTTCAAAATTTGTTTTTATTACGAGTTGAAACAAAAGCTTGCGTTTCCGGAGATCACAGTTGTAAAAAACTTCCTTTGTAACACCTTAAAGTCTGGCATATTGAATTTTTCAAACATTATCTTAACGTCTCGGTATTTTTCCACATTCATTTGTATCAAAACCAGTGCAGTCACACGCACACACTCTGTTCTTGCTCTCCCAGCGGGTGAGTTGTTAGAACCAGATTTCTCGTGGGAAATCCGCGCTTTTCCCCGCTGTCACCCGTGCGGTGCGGGGGTCCCGGGCCGGGCAGGTGCCGGGGGCTCGGGGGGCTGCGCTGGGCTCCCCCCGTCCCGCCCTGACCCCGCCGGGGCCGGCCCCGCCGCCGGCTCCCCCCGCCCGCTCCGTGCCGTGCCCGCGGGGTCCCGGGGCTCCCCCGCCCGCCGCCCGCCCGCCATTTCCCGCACTCACTCGGGGGTGTTGATCCAGATGATGTCGAGGTGGCAGTAGTACACGCACTCCTTGTCCTTGTAGGTGTAGCAAGTGCAGCGCCGGGCCCGGTGCCGCAGCGCTCCGCCGTCCGCCCTGGCCCTGCCGCCCGCGGCCGCCGCCGCTCCGCTCTCGTCGCGCTCGCGGTGCCCCGGGCCGGCCGCCGGCAGCGCGGAGCGGGGCCGGGGCAGCGCGGACCCTGCAACAGCCGCGCTCAGTTCCCGGCAGCTCCCGGAGCCCCGACCCCGCACACCCCCCGCCCCCGAGCCGCCCCCGAGCCGGCCCCGAGCCATCCCCGCTCCCTGCGGAGTCCCGGGAGCACCGGGAGCACCGTTATGTTTGTGTCCGCCCGGGCTGCAGCGCCTGCCCGCTGGGCTCGGGTTAAAGGATGGCTTTGGCGTCTGGTTCTTTGCAGCGCACCGGAGCGGGCTGCTGCTTACAGCCTTTTAGAAGGAGGGGGGGGGGGGGGGAAAGGCAACAAAAAAGTCCACCCAGCCTTTCTTTGTGTGCATGCGTGGAAGTGGGCAAAGAAAGAAAGAAATTCACGTTACCTGCAGTCGACGTAATCGTAAGTCCAAAGAGGAACAATAAACCCAGCTCCATTAAACCCAAATTGCACGCTGGTTAACTGCAGGCGCGACTGAACCGTTCCAGGAGGAATCACTTCAGGTTGGAGGCAGGGAGTATCCTGGGGCTGGCGGCACACGCTGCGCCCGGGAGTCAGCTCCCACACGGAGGTGTGATTAGCACTTCTCCCTCGCGGTTAATTTCCTCCAGTGCAGACTTAGTCCTGAAGGGGAGAGTGTTGTCAAAAGAAGGGAAGATCCATCGCTCGGCTTTTCCCACACACACCTCCCACCCCACCCCCAAATTCGATCAGCAACCGGAGCTGCTGTTTTCCAGCTGCAGACGCCTCCCACCCGCCGGCAGCTGCCGGCCTCCCCCGGGGCGCGGGCCGGGGGCGGGCACGGCCCCGCACCGCCCCCGCTCCGCTCCGCTCCCCCCGGCAGGTAAGGGCCGGCACAGGGCAGCACATCCTCCCGGCACGGCTGCTCACGCTGCTCGGAGTGCATCGCTTCTAAATGACCTGAGCCTGATTCCAGGAGGAGCCGCTTGTGTGATAAAAACGCGGCTTTTTGAGTCAAAGCTAGGCGACAGATTTGAGAGTTGTTTGGGGCTTTTTTTTCATCCCGCCCCCCACCTCCCCCAAGACTCTACCACTGATTTCCCTGGGTGAAATTAAGTGAATATACCAATTTGTTAATACTTTTCCCCCCACTTACCTGTGAGCACCTCTTTGCAGGCAAAGCCACCTAGAGTGCAACACTTAAGACAAATTTCATATTGTGTGAAATACCTGATAGCTGGGCCTAGAACACTCAAGCCTGTGGCCCCATTTTCTATTATATCAGCTATTAAGTGATAATAGGTAATGGTTTAAGATAATTGGCTATATCTTTTCTTACAGTAGTATGCGTAGCATATCCTGTTATGGGAAACACGTTATAGAGAGCACAGGAATAAAGATTGCAAACTCAATTGTGGATATTTAAAATCAAAATGCAACGTTTCATTTAAGAATCTTTCAGTACTAGCAGAAAGAGCTATAGCCAAAACTTCTTTTATGTATCACGCCAATCTAACATGTTCACTAAAATCTGGTTTGTGAGTAGAAAACTGGTTGGAGGATCACTCAGGTCTTATCCAAGTGAGGAACATTGTTCTCTACCATGTCACATTCTTCTCCAGCCCTGCCCCCAGCTCCAGCTTCTGGTGTGGACTATCCAGTAACACTTGCAAAGAAACCTCATTAAGATGTCATGTTTTGTCAGCTTGTCAAGCCTTGCCTTTTGTCAGTGCCCGAGGACTGAGAGTTTTGTAGTGGACCATATTCCCAGCTGGTCACAAAAGTACAATGGTCACCAGGCAGGGCAATAGCCTCAAGTGAGCCCACAGCTCTCTCTGGAAATTTCAATTGCTTTTATTTCACACAATTTGTGCAAATTACAAGATGCTCTCATTATTGATACAAGGGAGAGCAGAGCCCCTGTAAATTACTAAGTTCAACAGTATATTGAAATTCATGCTCGAGCTGGGAAAGAGGTGTTTGCTCACCTTTAGGGATGAGGAACTGCAGTGACCTGAATGTTTGTAGCCTTTGTTTTGCTGGGCTGGGGGTCTGTGTGTGTTCAAGTCCTGCTCCCCAGGCATCAGCAGAGTTACAGTTTGGCCTCACAGTTCTACGGGTGCTCTGTTTTGAAAAATATTATGACAAAACATCTCTGAAAAAACGAATTGGTTTAAAGTTATTTCCATTTCTTATATATCTAGAAAAAACTAATTGCTTCAGATCAGGAAGTTCTAGATATTGTACCCTCGTGCTATTGGATACAGGATAGAGTTTGCCAAATGCTTCTGATTGCATTTTAACTTACCGGGAAAAGAAAAGGAAGATTTATTGTGTAGTTACTGTTTAATAGAGCACTGAGTGAGTAGGAAGTACTGGTTACGTGTTGCAGGTATTATAAGTAACAATGACATGAGTCTAAATTCTGATTCATTAATTTCATTTTCCTTATTACAACTGTTACTCATTTCTATAAGAATTATGCAAATTTATCATAGAAATGAGAGATATGTAACTGGATCATACATATAGATATGTCATAACAAAAAAAAGTTGTGTCGTGTGTGAACTGATTTAACAACATTTTCCTAAAAAGTATTGTTCTGTTTTCTACATGAAATCTCGAAGGCGTCTTCTACATTGCTCTACTTTTTCTTCCATGTACTTTTTAATCTCTGAAGAGCCAGGGGAGACCATATCAGTAGCCAGCACTGTGCAAACAAAAGGAGTAATAAAATATATTCTTAAATCAGCTACCAGGGTTCAGAAATTAAGGGCAAGGGTTTGGTCAAATGACTTCATGTAAGCTTTAGAAGAAGATAAGACTCTACAGGAAGAAAGATACTCTCATCAAAGGAATTAATACTCCTGGTACTGTAGGCCTGATTCTCATTTACATTGATTATCAAATTGTTTGGGTCATATATAACCCGATGACTTGAGAACTTTTTGTTTCATAAATAACAGCACTCTCAAAACAAGAAAGCTGGTTAAAGAAATAGCAACAAACAAATTTTTAAAATCCAGGGTCTGTTTTGATTTGGGATAAGAAATAAAAGATATCTAGATACCATTGTCAGTGATATACGATGCAAAACAATTTTGTAAATCTATTTAATGATTATATTTTCATTTAGGGAAAAAAAAAGTGGTAGCCTTGAAGGTAGCAGGCAGAGATTGGAAACCAACAGATCTAATTCATAGTATTTTTCAGCTTTTCCTTTAAAATCGTTTTAACTTCATAGATTCCATTCTCTTTTCCAGTGTCAAGATCTTTAGGGTGGATGTGTACTTCGCATAAATCTTGAGAGCCATGTACAAAATGTGTAGAGTTAATCCCTCTTTTTATACCTTCAATCTTCCCAGTTCCAGCACATCCCTTCCTGCCCTTGTGCAGCCCAGCCTGGCAGAGCTGAGAGCGCCAGCTCTTCTCTCCCAGACAATGGGAATTCCCCAGTCCTGGGACACTTCCTCGTTCTTGGGGCCACCCAGGCAGCTGAAGAGAGACAATCAGCAGATCTGCCTCATTGCTGGGTATAAATATTGTATATTTGAGAACTTCTAATTGACTGGAGGGGGAATAATCTCAGGGATGAGGTCAAGGCTAAAGGAGTCCTGGAATGTGGAGCAGCTGAAACAGATGATGTTAAGGAAAGTAAGCTCAGATTCCAGATTTTATATGCGAAAACCCTGGGCTGCCATTTCAATTAGGAACATAATCTTGGGTTTGTTTAGGACTCCTCTGCCCCTTGTATCCCTGTTTTATACATCCACTCCTGTAATTGTGGGGCAATCAGAGCCCCCAGCAGTAATTCCACAGCATTTAACCTTCATCATACAGGTGACTACACAAAGCACTTGTGAGTTACAAAAAAGTTCCAGATGTGTTTAAATAAAGTTGGTTACTGAGAGAAACCACTTTAGAAGCTGAGTTCCTGTGATGTATTTACACGAGTAATAAAGCCTGTAGTTAAAAGGTTGGGTAAGGTTTCAGCAGCAATGAGGGATTTTTTGGCACTGATGCCTGTTCTTACAGCTTCACAGCAGGCCAGGAGGAAAACCTGATCAATACAGATATGGTGCTAAATAAAGACAACCAATCTAGTATTCTATAAACCACTCATATCTCTTTTCCCACCCTCTTGCTTCCTTCTTAGTCACTGTGTTCTTCAGTGTTATTGAAAGAAAAGGTCATATTAAGCTGCAAACACTCAGTTTAGTAGCACACTGCATCACTCTCACGAAGCAAGCCACTTCATAGTGGTAGCTGATGTTGGAAAAATGTGCTGAAGCCAGTAGGTTCTCAAGAAAACCTTGTCTTCTGGTTATTATTTGTTACTTTTTGCTGGAGTTCTATAGGCAGAAACCTGAGGTTAATCTTGTCTCCCCTCGAGTTTCAGACAGCCCCATTCAGAGCCCTTTGATGTCAGTGCAAAGAATCCCATTTTTAGTGGCCTTTGAACCAGATGTAGTAAAAGGGCAACTGAGCATTTGTAGGGGTTGCAACTGGGTAACTTGCTTAAAGGAGGAGATACTAATTTTATTTTCCCGCATTTTTTTATTATTTTTAGTATTTATATACCATTAAGAGTAATGTAGGTACTTGGTAAACAGTGAAGAGAACTAATGCCTCAGCTCTGACTGCGTTTCACTTTGTTTAGGTAAAAGCAGAGTAAAGAAGGAGCTCTGTGGCTGTTTTTCAGCCACACTAATTTAATGATTGTTACAGCTATTGTGAAATTTAGGAAGGAGTTTGCATAAGATAACATATCCTGCTGTTGTAATGTACTGGAGACAGGGCTCAGATCTCTGGATAAGGAATGCTGCAAAAATCCTAAGTGTTACCACTACACACCACTCTCCCCAGGATCTGAACCTGACCTCCCTTCCTTGATCCAAACAATCTCTGTCTTTGTAAAAATAACAGGATTCAACAGGAAGAGAATTTCCTATAATTATTACGTGAAACGGTTCTTTTCCTTCACATTTATTCATCGCTTGGCATGTTACTGAACAAAGATAATTCCGTATCAAAATGTGATCAATCTGAACACTTCTGGTGTTTGTGAAGAATGGACAGGGAGCTGCCAGCAAATAAGAAGCTGGAGGTGAAAAACTAAGGTGGTTGTCTTGCCAAAAGAATTTCACACGTTTAAAAATGAGCAGGGACTTGGGAGGGACAGCTTGTTTCTGGAGGTACAATGGCAGGGAAGAAAACTCGAGCACCAAAACAAATCATTTTGGGCAGAAGCCAGTCTGGAGGGTGGTGTGGAGAGGGAGGGAGTGGTGTGCATGCACAAGCATTTGGGTCTGGCCTGGTTTTCCTTCCTCAGCAGACTGGTAGGAAGCTTGTGGTCAATCATTTGTAGTGTGAGTGGCTGGGGGGAGTCTGGAGTCCTGGGAGGAGAGGGAGGTGTAAAGATAAGCTGGAGGAAGGGGGCTTGGGTCTGGGGATGTCCCCAAAGCTATGGCTGACCCTCAGGTTATTACAGAAGAAGTGAAATCCATGTGTTTCTCTGACAGTCCTTCCTTGGGAGCTCCCGTTCTTGGAGCTGAAGCCTGCCTGGATGCCTTTGAAGAGGTGTGTTTTTTACATTTGTTGGAAAACCAAAGGACCAAAGCCCTGAATCCTGCCTGGAGCAGAGCCTGCAGGGAGGGGTGCCCTGGGCTGCTGGAGA